TAGTGAGAGAGCAAGGTGATCAGGAACAACCAACATGGATTCATTGGGTGTGTCCACACATGCAAGCACATGCGCTTGCAGCAGCTCAAATAGAAGTGGTGCACATTTGAGCCGGGGCTTTTTGCCTCGGTGCATGTACTTTGTTGTGGAGCAAATTGTGCCACTTGAGGCAAAATAACCCTGCCTGGCTCCTCCTGGATCTGCAGCCAGGGAGAGCTAGAGCCCAGGGCCAGCACCTGTGCTGTCCCCAGCAGTATAAAAAGCTGTCCCATCCATACAAAAAGCTGGCCTGGCAAGCAGCTCAAGGTTACTTGGTCTCAGGAGCTTCTGGGGCCTGGCCAATTGGTACCTGGGGACACTACCTCTTGTGCAAGCTGGACTGCTGTAGCAGCATTCCAAACTCATTTTTAAAAATACCCCAAAATCCATGTTTTTCCACAGTTTAAACAAAAGACCAGACAGACACACACACACACACAAACACCCCCCCCGCCAGGGGCCAAGGCAGCAGGAGAATGAAAGAGAGTCTGGTGTCAACCAGAGCATCTCTTTTGGAGGACTGATTCCCTGGCACGGTCCCAGACCATGCCTTGCTCCACTCCTCTGTGGAGCAGTTTTTTTTACCCCCATGTCCAGGGGTCTAATTTTTTCCCCGTGCTGCAAGTTTGTTCCCACACATGCCTCTTGTCCCACCTCAAAGGGGTTTGAGATGGGGCAAGTGGCACACGTGTGATTGTCTGGATGTGCCCATCGAGTTCGAGTTATGCCTTACCAACCTGATTTCCTTCTATGGTAAGGTGACAGGCTCTGTGGATAGGTTAAAGCTGTGGATGTGATATGCTATACTTACTTGAATCTAAGTTGTCCCTGAGTTTAAGATGACCCCCCAATAATTAGATTCTGTACATGGAAAATTTATAAATTTGTTATAATTTTCCAGGTATAGAATCTAATTATTGGAGGGTTGTCTTTATATTTTCTCCCCTGCCCACTACTACAGAAGGAGAAGCGGTGGCTGGAGCAGGGGGGGTTAGGTGGCCCACTTGTCCTCTGTTCCCCTACCACTTCTTCCCCTTGCTGCCTTTCTGCCCACCTTCCACCCCACGACCCCAGCTCCCCTACAGCCTCTGTCTGTTTTCCCCTCCCACCGTGCCCTTACTGTCGGACATTGCTCAGGTACATAGAGCACAGCAAGCAGAAGCACAGCCCCTGCCAGCTATGCAGCAGTGTTGGCACTGCTGAATGCAGCATGGCCCCTGCCTGGCTAGTGTTTGTGCTGATGATTGGCTGGGCAGGGGGCAGAATTTCCGCGTGCTCCGTGCCCAGGAGGGAGCCTAACACGAGCTAGAGCTGAGCTGCTGCTCACTGTAAGCTGGAGGAAAAGTGCAGGTGCAGGGGGACAAGCTGCAAAGGGTAAGCACAGGAGGGGCAGGAAGCTGCTGTGGGTGTGACTCTGGCTGAGGGCCAGAGTCAGATCCTGAGCAGCCCCTTGCCTTCCCCCTCCCCCACTTTGTACACAAACCTTAAGCTGAGGGGCTTCCCCTGCCCCACGCTGATGGGGTGGAGAATCTCGCCTTGTACTTGCGTAAATACAGTATTTGACTTTAGCAAGACTTTGACACTCTCCCTGACATTCTCATTAACATGATGAGGAAATATAGGCTAGACTAAAGTATTGCAAGGTGGATACATAACTGGTTGGGTCATTGTGCTCAGTAAGTAGTCATCAATGGCTCAATGTCTAGTGGCAGGAAATATTAAGTGGGGGTCCTTGGGAGTCCACCCTGGGTCTGATATTGTTCAATGTCTTCATGAATGATTTGGATGATGGGATTGAGTGCATGCTTAGCAAATCTAGAAATTACACCAAGTTGGATGGAGTTGCAGACACTCTGCTGAACAGGGCTAGAATCCAGAATGACTTGAATGACCAGATAAATGATCTGCAATCAGCAGGATGAGATGTGACAAGGACAAGAGCAAAATCCTGCATTTAGAGTGCAATAACTGTACGAACATATACAGATGGGGGCTAAGGGTTACTTAGTCCAGGGAAGAAAAGACAGGGGAATTTGATAAGAGTCTTCAAATACCTGCAGAGAAATTACAGAGAAAATGGAAGGTGGGATTTTTTTGTAGCTGTAGGAGACAGGATTAGGAGCAACGGTCTCAATGTGCAGCAGAGGAAGTTTAGGTTGCTGCTTTATGAGAAGTTTTCTGGCTATAAGGGTGATCAGTCAAGCATTGCAACAGGCTACCTAGAGAAGTTGTGGAATCCCCGTTTCTGGGAACTTTTAGCAGCAGGTTGGACGGACACTTGGCTGGGATAATCTAGTCTGGGACAATCCTGTGTGAAGCAGGGGGCTGAACTAAATGACCTTGGGAGGTCTCTACTAGCCCTACTTTCCTATGATCCTGTGAACTCTGTTCTTGGATACAGAAGGTAATAATCCAAGCCAACACCTTGACTTAAAATTTTAAATAAGAATCCAACATTTTTTTTTTTTACCAAAAATGAATTTTACTGTGTATTTTTAGCAATGATTTAGGTCTGGGATGTTGAGCTTTAGTTGGGTAATGATGCAGCTAGTCCAGGCTACCCACTATGAAGATTATGCCTCTAATATTTAACTAGAGATCTTCAAACGCAATGGTGAGAGTTAGATGGGGCCCCATACATTATTATACACTGATGAGAAATATTGTTAAGACCTTTTGTCCGGTGTATTGCCTTATAAGAGGCCTTTGTCCTGTGTATTGCATTATAAGAGGCCTGGTGGTATGTAAGGCTTTCTCCATCTCTGTTAATTTTGAAGGGGAATAAATATGCACTTGTTAATAGTGTTTTTCAAATCTGTCAATGAGATTTTTAAGCAGCTTAATGTCATGCAGTCCTGCAGGATTTAAGTATCGTGGGATTTTTTTCTATTCAGATTTAAATCCCCTAGATTAAATTTGGACCATTAGAGTAGATGAAAAATGAGTTGATTTAGAGAGAATATTCTACCACTATCACTGTTTGGAAGGATTAGCTAGCGTTTTAATCAACTGAACATCAGGGCACTGCTGCTTTTGCTTTTCAGATTCTGAATTTTAGATCTATAAGTATGGCTTTGCAGGCTAGTACCTGAGAGCAAGGCCACAGTGTTAACCTACAAATATATGTTGTGAGTAGGAGACTGAGCAGGCACTGATCCAAACCAAAAAAATGATTGATTCAGTTTGACCTTTTTAGAGAGATTTATTCATCTGCCTATAATTGAGTTTGTAAAAATATACTTCATTAGCTGTAACCATTATGAAGTGCTTTTTAAATTTCCATTCCATTGAAGTCGAAAGAAAAAGATTTTTTTTTAATTTCTAATATCTTATAATTTAAGTATTAATATCACATAGGTCACTAGTGGGAGCTTTTCTTTGTTTAGTTGTTAAGAGTAGCTAGTGTACTTCTTTTTTTTCTTTTTTAATGTATTGCTAGTTGCTCTCATTAATCTGGGTTTGCAATATAAGTACCACAGTCAGGATTGTAAAATGTGTATCCATTTGAGGGAGCAAGCGTTTTAAAGGACAAAGGAGGATTTTAGTCCAAATAAAGCTTTACTTTTTCCATTATTTACTGGCCTCAAAATATTTCTGTGGCAAGGGCTTCTTTCTTATTCATCTCCCAACAATAACATTTTAATTTTTCTCTAACTTAAAGTGCCTTAATATCTGTGGGGCTCTTTTGTTTAAAGCATAACATTTTAACATGTGGATGCTACAAACAATAACCTGAAAAGGTTATTTTCAGCTTCTCGAGTAATTTTTTACAGAATTAATTCTTAACTATTCACTTGCATGATCAGGCAGTATTTCCATTTTACCCATTGAACCAGTCGCATAACTAGGCAGGGAAACCAGGGCATCTGCCCCAGGTGCCAACTTGTGGGGAAAAGGAGGGATGGTTGGGAAAACATCTGTGGCCATCTCCTCTGCCACAGAATCGTGCTGGCAGTATGGCAGCTTTACTTCCAACTCTTTCCTTTATGATATGCTAAAATGATGAGGCAATAAAAATAGTAATCATTCTGACATTTAACTTCGTGGCTAAATTCAAGCAACAACTGAAACCTGTCCAATAAAAAGAAAGATCTAACTTTTGTTTTGCTAGCTGCTGAACAGTTGGTTAACTCCTTGCTAGTTGCTGGTGTGCAGAGTACACTAAAAAGATCCATAATTACAAACATGCTAGAATGGAGATATACCTATAATGCACATCCCTAGGTTTGAATGCATCAGACACTTCGTGTTCATCCCCAGAAATTCAAGAGATCAAAAGAAGGGCGAGTGCTTGACTGACTCAATTAATCCTATTGTTTCAAATGTTTCTCAATAAATTGCTGGGTTTTTGGTTGCAGCAGTGTTGGTCTAAAGTCATAGGCAGGCAAAGTTCTTTGAGTAGATGTGATATCTTTTATTAGACCAAGATCTTCAAACAGATATCACATCTACTCAAAGAACCTTGCTTGTCTCAATAAATTAGTCTGTTAAGACACTTGCACAGTACTTTGAATTTCAAAGTGTTACTATTAGCTGATAGCTCAGCAAAGTGGAACCCTGTTGTCACAGTTTGGAGAGGTTTAGCGAGAGCTTGAATATGGCTAGCAGCTAAGCATTCTAATATTAGTGAACTATAATGCAGTCTGGTGTGCCAGTATCTAGTGTATACTTCACCATTGATAGACCGTGATTTTTTTTTCTGAACGTATCCATTTGCTACCTCACTCACGTAGTTATAATGCCTGGTGGTATGTACCACTGCATCAACCAGAATTGGCAGAAAGAGGAAACTTTTATTCTAGCATTCCCTCGCAGAGCTAACTATTTCATGCTTCTGAAGCAGAAAAATTGTAGTAAGATATAATAACCTTGTGGGTGACAGCTTTGTGATGAGGATCACTTACTATGAGTACTATGTGGGAGTACTGTCTTCTTAATTTAAAGGGGTTTTTTGTCTTTAGGTGTCAACGGAAGCAGTGGCGGATAGACTTGCCAGCCACTAGTGTAGTGATCACCTTTCATAATGAGGCAAGATCTGCTTTACTTCGAACAGTTGTCAGGTATACCAAAGAGATGTACCCTGTTGCCCTGAAAACCCCTATGTATTGCAAATGACTGTGACATGGAAAGTGAACACTAATTAGTATTGGTTTCCTTTTATTGCAGTGTTCTTAAAAAAAGTCCATCGCACCTTATCAAGGAAATTATATTAGTGGATGACTACAGCAATGATCGTAAGTACAATTGTAGAGCCTGAAGTATGGGACTTTAAATTGTCAAATTAGAGTCCAATATACTCCAGAGAAAAAGGACTTGCCATACTCCTTTAACAGGCTTTTATTATAAATGACTGATATTTGTACCAAATATTTTGTATTACTGGTATAAATGGATTCTGACACTAACAATCATTTAAGATAAGGAAAAAAAAAAAAAGAAAAAGCCTTACTGCTATTAATAAAACTAAAGAATAGAAACTTTTAGCTAATATGATGTCCAACCTGAATAAAGTATATGAACAGTGAAACATAACTTTTGGTTAAAAGTTGGGACTTATCTACATGACAGCATCTCTCTTGCTATTGCTGTGCTGATTTTATAGCTATGTTGGCAAAGTCCTCTAGAAAGGTGCAGCGTACGATGGCAGAGATCTTTTAAGAATGTAGCTACATTGCCTCCCTGAATGCCTTAGCCATGGTGTTCATAGTTCACAAATAAATTAAGATTAATGTGAATATTTACAAACTTGAATTTCTTGTATCTTTTGCTATGATATTTAAAATAATTATATCAATGTGGGGTTAATCATTCATTTAATTATTGTCTTGCAGCTGAGGATGGTGCTCTCTTGGGGAAAATAGAGAAAGTGCGTATTCTTCGAAATGACCGTCGAGAAGGTAAGAAATTTGTGAACTCTGGGGAGAGAAAAGTACAGATTAAACTACTATGTATTTTAAATGCACCATTCTCTATCTTTAGTGCAAAAAAGAAGAATTGATCATTTAGTACTGAAAAAAATAAAAATGTATGTGCTAATTATGCAACAGTGGCAAGTATCTAATCTGATTTAAAATTCATCTTTCTCACTTACCATTCACTTTGCAATTAGTCTCATTTCATTAGCTAGGTACTTCTTGAATGTTGGGTTTACAGCCTTAGATATGGCAGTTAGTCTAATTACTGTCCTACAGCTGTTGAAATAACTGATAGTTGACTAAAATACCAAATGTGTGCTTATTCATTTTTATAAATGCTCAGCTAGTATCCTGCCAATTTTGCCTATGGAACAACTATTCAAAAACAAGCATTGGCACACATACTACCTTGATATGCCATGACTAATTACACTGTGCACAAGAATTTCCATACTCCTGAGCACTCAGTGCTTGAATATTTTCTTTGGAACATGCTTGTAAACAAAACTTTGTCAGAAAAGCAAGGTTTTACTAGATCAGGCATATAAGTAAGCCGGTAATGTTTTTCACATCAAAACAACACTTAAAAAGAACAAGGTAACCATTACGGAAAGCTGATTTACAGTAAAGAGCCTTTGGAGTGGTAACTGACTTTATCTTACTTATCTCTGCACGATACTGTAGAATTTAGAGGGTGAACTGAATTTTTTCTAGTTCATACACTGAGAGATGCATCAATGTGAAAAGTGGAACTAATTGGTTTGCCAGATATTTTACTGATGATGCATGTACCAGAAAAAAGTAACTTATAAACAATGATAATGCTTTCAGGTTTCATGGTGCTTTAGATAGACTGAAGATGTAATTCCTTCCCTGAAGAACTAGCCACTTGTTTTTACATAAAGACTTACTTTTCCGCATCATGCAGTTATGTACACATTTAATGGAATATATTTTAAAGGAAACCTTTTAAGGTTACCTTTTTGTCACTTGCATCTCTTTAGTATTTAGGAAATAAAAATAGAAAGTAGAAGTTTAGAATGATATTTCAATGATGACATGATCTGTACAAACTAAAATTTAAGAGGAACAAGAATAAGAGTAAATGAGAAAGTGGAACACGAGGGTAAGAGGAGGAGGTAGGGACATGAGGTATGAGGAATCAAAAGAAAAGAGGTGTATCAAACAAATTAGAAAGTCTGATTTTTAGGGAAAGCCTAACTTGCAGAGCAAGAAGGTAGAGAAGATGCAAGCTGAAAAAAAGATGCCGAGTCTAGATTTTAGGGCAAAGAGTTGAGGAAGGGGAAAATGAAGATAGTTGGTGTTCCAGAGATGGATTCTAGTGTGAAGGGAGCTATATTAAAAATACAGTTAGAATGGAACTAAGGAGAGACAAAGGGAAGTAAAAGGTGTGATAAATAGCTGTTACCCAGATTACAGTTAACTTTGTGGATGGGCTTCTGGTAAGAGGCAGAAATGGGTCTACAGCCCAACCTTTTATTTGTTTTCACTTTAAAACATGAAAATAAGCATTTATCCCATAGTCTATTTGGCTACCCATAACAGCGCAACATAGATTCTCGCCTATACTGGTCGGGGTGACACGAAATGGGGGAGGAAGGTGGCATGCACATTGGCAGCAGGTCTTCTCAAATTTGCTGAGTTCTCCAAACTTTCCCTCCCAGCCTATGCCCAATAAGTATAGATGGCTGGTTCTAATATTTCGATAAACGATTGGTTTTATTTGAATTGCTTTTGTTTTGCTGAAACTTTTGGAACTGGACTAAACCAGATCTCTTGTTGACTTAAGTGTCAATTAGTTAGGATTTATATCCTTGGGAAAGAAAGAGGAAGGATTCTTATTTCCTTTCCTTCCCTGTTATGGAGTGTTACTCAATGCTGGCCTGTTTGTTTTATTTTTGTTTTTACCCTTAGTTTATGGTCTTCTCTGACAAGGCTATTTTTGTTTTTACAAATTATCTAAGCATCTTAACAAAAATATATCTATTATAACAAAATGACACCTAATACATCTGGTTACATCAATCGCTACTACTAGTATTTTAAGATAAAGCTTTGATATAGTGTACTCGGATTATTTCATGTATGGTCCTCCCTTATCTCCTTTCAGGCCTTGTGCTTTGTTTAATTGTGTTTGATGGCTTCCTTTACTTGCTGACCAAGTTAGTTGTCACATCTGCAAAGGTTCACACTACGATAACTCAGAAACAGGCTTTTGGGGCCTTCTGCTTAGCAACACTTCTGCAGCTTGGCCTAGGCCCCTTGAAAATGGCCAAGGCTGGCAACATGGCAAGGTAGGGAGCAATGAAACAAAGTGCTAAATAGGGCAGAACCATACAAGTAAGATATTTTCAACTTCATGCGAGAATAGATCAGTAAAAAGAAGCTTAGGAAGGGGTGATTTAGCTGCTAAATACCAGACTGCAGCAGTAAAAAAAAAAAACTTGAAAAGGCTTAAGAGGAAAAAACTCGCTATCATGGTTTGAATGAGACTTTGGGAAGTAGGGCTGTATTTTCAAATGTTAGATGGCAAAGCAAGAAGATTTGATGGGAACTGATATGCAAAAACAAAAGGAAAATGGGAAGCTAAAGAAATGTGTTATTGGTCTGGAATGATGGGGAAAAGAATGGCATATTACCTGTTAAAGTAAAACAGAGGAAAGACAGGGGGTTTAGTATATTTTATTTTTTTTAAAAGTAGGACTCATGAAATAAAAGGGTGGGTAGGTGCATTTGAGAGCTATCTGCAGTAGCAAGAGTAGAAGAGGTCACCTGGGGAACAAATGGGGGGGTGGGGTGGGGAGGGCATAGAAATCCCTCATAAGTCTTGGGATAGCCCAAAGGAGAAAAGGAGTTCCATTAAGCCAATGATTAGCAAAATTAGGACTAAAACCCTAAGTCACAGAAGCATAAGAAAGGAATGGAAATTGAACAAGGCTCTTAGAAATGGAATAAAAAAGGGATGGTTACTTTAGCAGTTTGGTGAGACAAGGCTGAAGCCAACCTGGAAACAATTGAGGAGGTAGGAATAAAGAGCCTGTTCAAGGAATTCAAAGACTTAAGAAATGGGAGAGACTTAACAACAGCATCTCCTGCAAATCTGCCATTGCAAGTTTATGGTAAAGTTGGGACTTACCTAAGCACATAGGTACATTTTCACTATACTAAGCATAGATTAAGTGGTGCAGCTCCCTAATGTGACTGGTTGTGCCAGTCATAAAGGCCTTCATTCTGGTACTGTTCATTTCTGTAAGGATGAAGAAGCTATGCTAGTCTAATATACCTTTAGACACAGTTGTTATACTAATGATTATACTGGTGTAACTAGAGTTATGACTTTTCTGTCAAAATTAATATACAAGCTATGTATCCCAGTCTCTATCCTGCAAGAAGCAGAATTTGTTTAGCAATATATATATTTTTCAGACAAACTAGCTTGTAGAGACGAGCTTTGGGGCACCCATTCCTCAGATTTGGGGCTGGAAAATTCACACCATGAGGCAGCAAGAAGCCAAACAAAATGGTGACTTCCACTCCTAGACAAAAAGCTTGTTTAAAATATCTTCCAACTAAATAGTTGGCTTAGTAATAGATATTGCCAAACAAATTCTGCTTCTTGCCATCTCATGTATAGCAACATTATTAACCCACTTCTTAAGTTAGAAGTTTTTGTCATCTAATTCCTGAACCTCAGTAAGCAGCCTGTCTTTATAAAAAGCTTGTGGGCTGGCTGGATAGGAGCATTACTGCCTTTTCTTTTTAGAGCATTCTAATTTTGTCGCATTACAGTTGAATCTTTCTCCAATGATGACTTCTTAAATCTTTCTTCCAAGGCTTGATGCGCTCTCGTGTCAGAGGGGCAGATGCAGCACAGGCTAAAGTACTGACGTTTCTGGATAGTCACTGTGAATGTAATGAGCACTGGCTGGAACCTCTTCTGGAGAGAGTAGCTGAGGTTAGTATAAGGTGTCTGCTTACCTGATTGAAAAAATGATTGATATGATGTATCTTGTACAAAATGACTTTCTCTGTAGTGAGAGTAAACAGGACAATATGGATTGTGCAACAGCTCATCATTCAACAATTAATTCATCATTTCATGATGAAGTCTCAGTTCTTATTCATTTAATTTGTAAACAGCAGAGCATAATCTATGTAAATATTTATGATAATCTTTTAAAGTAAAATACATGCTTCCTGGTTTTTTTGTGACCTGTCATTGTTTCAACTGTTTCTACAAGCTTAAGAGCGTTACTTCCTCTTCAGCCAGTACCATTTTAGCATAATGCCATGTATAGGTACTCCTCACTTAACATCATCCCAGTTAACGTTGTTTTGTTACTACGTTGCTAATCTATTAGAGAACATACTCATTAAAAGTTGCTCAATGTTCGGTTATATCGTTTGGCCGCTGCCTGCTAGTAGGTAACTACTGTGATGTAATTGGATTCACTTAACATCGTTTTGCCTAAAATCACATTTTTCAGGAACATAACTGTGAAGTTAAGTGAGGACTGGCTATATTTGAATATACCTGATTGCTGTTGTGAAAGGAGATTCAGGCCAGGAAAGAGACATTGGTCCGTCTATATGTCCTACATGATAAGCTTGTAGGAGCTGTGGGTATATGGTTCTCTGATATTTCAGCCTAATTTGTGTCTCCGGAGAACCATTGACAAGACTGGTTAAGAGTGCGCGTATGTGCTGTTTCCCTCCTTGTCTTACCTCTACTTTGTATATTCCTTAGTAAGCAGTCATTTTCAATTTTGAGAAATTCTGCTTAAGTAGTGGAAAAAACACACATTGCACTAGACAGCACTGAATAAAAACGTGAAAAAGGCAGTTGGCCTTCTTTTTACTTTCCCTCTGCTCATTAAAATGTTCTCTGAATGTACCTGTTTCCTCTTAGAATGACCCTACTTTAATCTCCTTCTCTCTGGAAAAAGGTATCTGGGCTAGGGAAAAAACATGAAAAATAAGGCATATTGCTTAGAACACTTCTAAGTATTCAGTTGTTGAACTGATAAAACTTAAGCCAAGAATGCTGCTATTTGGAATGCCAAACACATTATTTCATAGATTTCATAGACATTCAGGATGGAAGGAACCCCGAAGATCATTGAATCCAGCCCCCTGACCCAGGGGCAGGAAGTCAGCAGGGATCATAGGATCCCAGCAAGATAAACATCTAAATGCATCTTGAAGGCGTTCAAAGTGGGTGCTTGAACCACCCCTGGTGGCAGTCCAAACCTTGGAGGCTCGGACAGTAAAGAAGTTCTTCCTTATGTCCAACCTGAATCGTAAATGCAGCCATTATACCTAAAATGGTTTCTGTTATGTACTCTGTGTTGCAAATGTCCTAACACTCCCCACTATTCCTACCTTTAAAAAAATAAACAAAACACACTCTACACTTTAACTATTCAGGACAGGTTGAGCATAATGTAGTTTGTCTGCAGTAACTCACAGTTGTGAACTGTTTTCGGTAGGTTTTGCTGTTTGGTTCTGTGAAGTCTTGCTGTTAATTTTTATTTCCAGAGTCACTGTACTTGCTATAGTGCATGATTTGTGTATGACTTAGAATTCTGTTTTCAAATATTAATAACTTAGAGGTGCTTGAAGTTTGACAGTACTAATATAACTAGTTAATACCTATGAAGTGCCTTGAAGCTAAATATACAGGTGCTACAATTATTTTTAGTTGCATAACATGCATTATTTGAGAGCCCCATTTAGCTGAGATTGCAGCAAGCTTCAAAACTTAGAAAAATCTGCCCCTCCACTTCCATCTCAAAAGAGAGTAGAAAGCCCCCACACCAGCAAGCTCTTCTACTGGTTGCTCCAGAAGGAGCAACTGGTTGCAGGAAACCTTGGCTTACAAACATAAGCCCATATAAAATAGAGATTGGGAACTGCTTTCAAGTGCAGCTGGACTGGAGCCTATACTTGGAGACCAAGGGAATGGGAGAACTGAGCTACTGTAGCTCTTTTTGTAGAGGACAGATTGCCTGTTCCTCACCCTGTGAACTTCTGCTTTTCTGTTTCTCTGTTGATGCAATTCCACAGTGAACTTTGCAGGCAACACTTTAACGTTTTAGGAAATTAAACTGAGAGGGAGGTAATATATTCAAGACTTCCATAACAACAGAATGTAGCACCATTTTGAAGTGCTGGTAGGCTAATGAACTAGGATTAGTAAATGATCTTCTTTACAAAAGAAACTGATGTACATTTTGTTGCACATACCAGCTAATTTCAGGTAGCTGGAGATGATTAAATATACTTAAACTTCTTTCCTTAACTATTGTCATGTGGTCTTGAGCTCCCTGAGAAGCATAAATGTAGCTATACACTAATCACATTAATCATATGTGTGCATCTAGAAGGGTGCTCAATTTGATGTATGAATATTGGTACAGTGTAAAGAGTGAAACTAGCTTAGCATACTGTTAAATAAGCTTTAAGTGTAATCGAAGTCCCAACTTCTTTTTCTTGGGGTAGGAATTAAAGATGTATAGTATTTTCTACCCTTTTGGGAAAGGTAAGGTACACATTTACATGATTTGAGGGGTTGGTAACATAACTTTGTGGCTGTTCAGTTTGACAGGGACTGGAAATTATTAATGTATGTTATGTCCATCATGCATGTCAATCAGGCTAATACAGAACCTAAAGATGTCATGTTAATTTAAGTAGATAAGGAAGAGAATTGGAAAGTTGGGGCTATCTCCCTATCTCTGTCTATTAATATTAGTATTATTATATTATATAGTAATTTGTATTAATAAATATATAGAAATAAAATACTAATATTAATATATAGAGATAGATAGCTCCAACTTTCCACTTCTCTCTCTTATCTACTTAAATGAACATGACACATTACCATCAAGCTAGTACAGAACCTAAAGATAAATAATGTATAGCAAAGATGGAATATACACCAAGCCTATATAAACTTTGGGTGGCACATTTGACGGTAGCAGATTTTTAAACAAACTAGATCTTTAGGGCTAGGGACAGACATTCAAAAAAGCCTGAGCCTGAATTGATTCAACCTTTGCAGGTTAGTCTAATCTAGCTAGGTTGAACTGGTTTCCAACCATACAGACAATCCCTCTGGACTGAGGAAGTTCAGGCACATGCCTGCAGTGGCTCAGGCTGGAAGCCAGGGGGCACTAGAGCAGCCCTCCCTGCCCTTCCACACAGCTAAACTATGGGAGGCCCCAGAAGGGCTCTGACTAGGGAGGAGTGTAAACCCCCACCCTGCCTGCAGTCCCTTGCTTTTCCCCACTGGCTGCTCAAGGGGTGGGGGTGTTGCCAGCCTGCAACCCTGGGATAGCACTCTGAGGGCAAGGCAGGGTGTACAGTGCATGCATCTGTTGATGATACAGAGCTTTTCACTCTCCCTCCCTGCTTCTGTATACTGTCTGCAGCAAACTGACAGGCAAGCAAGCTGGAAGGGGGTGAAGGGGGGAGCTGATAACAGTGTTTATCACCCTTATCTCAGTATTTATTGCCCCATTAAGAAAATGACAGAGACATTACCAGCTATCTGTTGACTCAGCACAGACCCAGCATGTAAGGTGTCTGGCTGATGCACAGACACCTCCGCAAAGGCAGAGGGGAGAAGGGAATTTTGTGCTTAGCAGAAAGTGGTGAGAGGGAGGGAGGGGAGCAAACAGCTTTTCTCAAACATTTCCAAAGAAGTACATTAAAGTATCTGTTGGTTAGCTCCAAAAAGCCTGTCTGCCTTTGTCTGTCCCACAGCATGGACTGTAGCCAGCATGTGGTCTGCTAGCTAATCCAGAGGTGTCTGCTAAAGCGGAGGGCAGGGGGGATAATCGCTGCTGAGCACAGAGAAGCCAGACAGATGCAGAGGGGAGGAGCCAACCCTGATGTGGAGTACAGAGCCCCACCCAGCCCAGAGAGCATGCTGGGATGTTGGGGGAGTCTGGTTTATCTTAAACCAGCAAGAAGTCTGGGACAGACATTGCATAAACTGGTCTGAACCAAATCGGTTAACTCTGATACTACATTCAGCCAGTTTTATCTCAAACCAGTTTCAGCTATTTTCACACTGGTTTATGTGCACTGAACCTTTGTTCTGTTAAAGGTTTAAACCAGTTTTTGATCACGTAAACCATATTATGTGTAATGTCTGTCCCTAGCCTAGATGATAACAGAATGGCATTGTGATGAGGAATAATATTTGGGTTCTAGTCCCATGTCTGTTTTAAATTTGCTGTGTCTCTTCAGATGAGCCACTAGTGGTCTACCAGATATCACCATGAAGATATTCATAATTTCTCCAAGAGATGTTGTGAATCCTAAGTCTGGTTCAAAGTTTTGAGATCCTCTAGAATACTAATAGGGGAGGGAGAGAAGCAAACCATGTAGAATCCTTACTAATTCCTGATGACGGGAGTACAGTTTACAATAATCTAAATTTCTAGTATCTTCATTATGCTTCTACCCAATATTAAAAGAATTAAAGTACCAGTACTACCAGTTTCCAGGCACTTATTTTCACACTTTTTATTTCCCTTTACTGTAATCATGAAGCGCACACAATTTGAGTTCCATGTTCCATTGCAAAGTAACTACAGCATTTACAGAACAGAGCAAAACTTTACCATATTTTCCCTTGGCCTTTTTTAGTTATCAAACTGCAGATCAGATTCCTTGTAGAATCAGCAAAGAAAGTAAGTGTCCAGCAAGTCAACTTTAAATAAAGGCCACTTCAAAGGAACAGCTGCTTTTAATTTTTTTCAATCGGTGTTTCTGAATCTCTCTGAATTGAGGCCTGCAGGTCTTTTTTTTAACAATTTATAAGCATTAACTGTTTTGTAGCACTCTACAATTATTGTTCTGAGAATACATAAAAACTCTGCCTACTCTGCTGCAAAACACACATCCGTTTATATCATGGGAGAAAAACAAGGCTGTTATCAGGAAAACAGTTAGAGAGGAATATATTGAAAGGATGCCCTCAGCTCTTAAGATTACCATGTGGTTTTTGTATCTATGTAGAAGCTAGAGAGAGTTATTGTTCAAGCTAGAGAGAGTTTTGTTCAAATAGTCTCCTCAAATATGCTACAATACCAGCGTGCTAGTGTATGAGTACTGAAGTGAAATTTAACCAAGCTGGGTTTTGTGGCCTGGGAAAAATCCTAGGAAGGTCAATAGCTAGCACAGCCAACTGCCATATAAGCCAGTACATCCAGCCCTAGGTATAAATGAGCTCTTAGGGCCTGACAGGTAGCGTGGCCTCATTGTGGCAATTTCTCCCCCTAATGTAACAGGTGCTTTGAACACTTTTCAGATCACCATACTCACCTATGTCAAATATAAAACTGCAGTAGAAAATGGAAATTTCAGAAAGAATTTTATCAGAGTATAGAGGCTCCAGATATAGACATAGCCTGAAATATCTGACTCCTGTTCAGATATTTTTGGAGGCTTTAATTGTTTTTATTTTATATATATTTCTGCTTCTGTAGTTTAGTGGATAATTTTAAGTTCTGTCATTTTTCAGCTATTTTAATTGAGTGATCCTTTGACAACACATTCAGTGACCATTTTTCTCTGTAGTTTTCTAGCTAAGTTATACAATGTACCCAGCAGATAGATATCGGGTATTAAGAACAAAAAGGCTTTGTTTTGACTTTTCTCACCTGTCCTACCTGTTAAATGTGACTTGTCTTTTGAGGATTTTCTTAGCTTAATGAAGTCATACTAATTAATGATTAGTGGAAGGCCTGATTGTAAACTTGCATAGTGTTATGTCCCTGATGTAGGTGTATAGTTGACCATTATAGTTCATGATATTGATTTGGATCTTAGCTTGAGTTTTAACTGTGGATCCAACTAGATTCTCTTCTCATCATTTAGCAGGATTAAAGCCTTGGAACTGCTGACTGGCTGATGGCAAGATAGTGTGGATTCTGTAAATGCTCAGCATTTTCTTAAGATTAGCAGCATGTAATAACAATTTGAGGTTTTATTGAGGTGCTTAAGGATTTAGCAGTTAGGATTAAATAATTGGAGACAAAACGGTGCTCTTGATACCTCTCACTGTTTGCCCAATCTGATTTGATTTAACAGAATTGATGATACTTCACAGCAATCCCTTTTGCAGTACATGCAGTAAAAATGTTCTCACAAAAAACTGGTAGTAGAAAACAGATTAATATTCATTCTGATCTGGGAAGAATGAGGTCTGAACCTATAAATTATATCCATTGCTAGTTGAAAATGAATTTCATAAATATGATTTTAAAATAAATGAAGAGATTTTTCACCCAATGCACTTTTACCATGAAATTGCTTATTCTGTAGCACATTAATCAAAATTAAATTTCTCATTTTCATTAGATACATCTTTATGTATTCTCCACACTTTATTAATATAGGCACTAATTTGTTGAGTTAAGTGTTTAGTCCTACCCATAATTAATGACATTCTGTTCTGAGGCGTTGTTCATGGTATCAGAATATAGCCTGTGAACCAAGAGTTCTGCGATAATTATTCATGTAAACACACTTTAAAAAAAAAATTGGTTAGCATTTTATCAAGCAATAAATAAAATGCAGGTTTTTTGTGAAACAGAATAAAGTGGAATGTTCCAATCTATTACATTAGGAAAATGAGTAGTTTTGAAAGTGTTTGGATTTTACCAACATCCTAATTTTTATATGCAGGATTGATGGAAAATCATGTTTTGTCAAGATTGTTTTGAAAACAACACATTCATTCAAGGAGAAGTGTTCAAAGCAGTTTCACTGCAAGTGGGTGTGGTAGCTGTCCAAAGACTTTTTTTGTTGCTAGAATAGATTTTCTGACAGCTTTAATATTTTGAATTTTTTGAAATCTATTTCTGTATTTGTTGACTGGAGTATCCCAATGTTAAGTGTCTTTATGCTAGTGCAGAATGCATTATCATTAAAGGAAGGATCTGCTGGTGTTGAAAGGTCAAATATATAATATATATTAAATACTGGGTTAAGATGGTGGATTGGCGAAGTCCTGATAGATACTGCAGCTCCTTGGACAGCAGGAGACTTGACATCTGAATTCTGAAGTGGTTTTTGAGACTAGTATTCTTGGCCAGGTCTAAGACTGAGAATCACTGTTTTCTGCTTGCCTTCTGGGTTTGACGTTGATTATGTGTTTTGTTTCAAGTCCAACGGGAGAGGATTATTCTTGTATAAAAGTAGTTTAGAAGGAAGAGAGAATTCAAAGCCATCAGTTGAGGCAGCTGTTTCTGGAAGTGCTGGTGAGAAATTCTCCCTAAATGGATATTCAGTGAGAGTCAAAAATAGAGGGGGGAAGTGGCAATGGAATCCCACTGAACTGTTCAAAATCTCATCCTGTGTGAATCTTAATATTGACTTCATTATTTCAATATTACTTTTTAATATTTATTTTAGGACAAGACCAGAGTTGTGTCTCCTATAATTGATGTAATTAATATGGACAACTTCCAGTACGTGGGGGCGTCAGCTGATTTAAAAGGCGGTATGTACCTGTACTGGAATATGAGTCAACCAAAAAAATAAAAAGAATGCACCAGGACTCAAAACACACATCACTATCATCACAGAACAGACAGACTTAATGCACCCTTTGCTCCCTCTCGTGCATGAAGTTGAGGTTCTTACAGTCAGTGTCTTTCTAGACATGAACTTGAAATTCATCTTTTGGAGGTAAACAACTTTTAAGGTTTCTGCTGGCCTCTAATTCACAATCAAAACTCCTGTTGATGTTTCTTTATAGTGGCTATATATATACATTTCAGGAGCAATATAAGGCCAACAAGTCTTTGCTTCTGCTATCCAATAAGACATTCATTAGTACATGGCTTGAAAAGATGCCAAGAATGCCCACACACTTATGCAGCTTGTTTTGCTTAAAAATTTTCAAATATTCAAACTGGTCGACTTTGTATACATATGGTTAAGTGTCAAGTTTCTTACAGCTAGTCATTAATCATATATATAAAATGTATATAAATGCATGCTTTCTCATACATGCGCATACACTCGCACACTCACTCTAGGTTCTACAGTGCCATTATCCCTTTCCAAATTTCTTCAGACTGTGATAGGAATGGAAATGGAAGATTTTCTTTTGTGACAAATTAATGGCGTATGTTCTGCTTAATAAGAGTGAACTGTTCATGACTAATAATAAAAACCTTTATGCAACACTTAATTCAGAGCAAAGGGCTTAACATTGAACAAAAAATGTTTTATTAGGGATGTTGACATAAACAATAATACAATTTCAATCTCTATTGTGTTTCAACCAGGGCATGAAATTGCTTTCATTAGGAGTGAGGGGTAGTTCAATTTCAAACCTAGTCTGCCCTTAATGTTTGGGGACCTACTTCAATCAGATGTGCCAGTATATTGGTGTTCCTCAAATGGAGAATCTCAGTGGATCCAGGAGCAGGGCAGTGGGGGTGTGGCTGTACCCCTCTTTGGCTGTTCTGTGCATGCATAATGAGTTCTACATCCACTGTCTGGTCAGCACAAGCTCCTGCCTGATCTCTGCATACATAGTGAGCTCTTTATTTTTGCAAAAGAAAAAAAAATGTATGTAACTTTATCTGTGTCACTCCACCAAGCAGTCCTTGTGGTTCACTTGCACATCAAAGCACACTTTGACAATTAAACCATTAAAAACCCGTTACTCTGAGCTCATCAGAGTGGGATCTTGTAGGAGCTACCATTTTCACATGGTTTCAGAGCCCAGGTTGTAAGTGCTGCCACCACCGCTTCTCCCCCTCCTTTCACCTGTTGCTGAATTGAATGGGAGGGTATGGGGGTACAGAAAGAAGATGAGGGAGGTGAACAGTGGCACTGCTTACTCCCTGGGCTCTGGAGTTGTGCAAAAGTGGTGGGCTTGGCCAGACCATGTTCTGATCAGCTGGTGCACTCATAAAGCTGACTGCACGTGTGGAGCTTGGGCAGGAGCCTGCGCTGACCAGGCTTTGAGCTCGGAGCTCACTGTGCATGCATGGCACAGCCAAAAGGGGAGGGGTACCACTGTCACTGCCCACTCCTGGATCTGCCCCTGATGCCTCTGTTAAACTAGAGTAGATGTTCATTTAAGACACTAAATGCCAAGTTCTAGCCAGTGACTTGAGTTTTGAGTGACTGCACCCCTTTAAGCTACTAAGGAGATATGGAACCTTTCATGTCCAAGTCAGTTATTTGATAAATGTGTTATAAAGAAGGTAAATAAGTTGCTGTGACTGAAATCTAGACTTAGGTAAATCAGCACCTCATCATTCTTACACGTGCGCCAGCTTTCAATAAATACAAAAGTTTATTGCCCAAGGTATTTGTTATATGACCTGGGTTCTGGGAGTTTGTGCATGACTTCTTGGCACTATTTCTGTATTGAAGGGGGAGGAATGTTCTTAAATAGGAGTGGCAAACATATCTTCCATGCTATTAAATTCTTGGTCCATGGGAGGGGAATTGAGGGCTATGAATAAAGAATGTACTGGCTTGTTGCTTCTCATGGTGCTTCTGTAGCTCTGTCCTTCCCAAATATCTTCCCTCACTTCTCCTTGCACTGTTGAAATGCTTCTTATTAAGTGGTGTCCAGCCCCCTTTACTCATGGCCTTGGGAGATAGTATATACCAACTTTTGAATTTAAATAATGGGAATTTTGCACATTCAAATTTTTAGGTTGTTAAAGGTCTGTGGTGGTCTCCTCCAGTTTTCAGTGAGCAGATTACCATATCATAACTACTACATTTGTCCTTTTTGGCCATACTAGTAAAAGCCAGAGACAAGGAATGGAAATTGAACTACCCTTTCATCTGTAGTCTTCTTGCTTCAGCTGACACGTTGGGTGTTGACACAACATGGAAAAACTTACAGTACTTTTGTGTGTGATACCTGGAGAGAAGACTTAATTACCTTGAACAAGAATCCTTTTCTAACAGTAAATTTATTTTGTGTGTCTTTTTTTAAAGTGGGGTTGGAAAAAAGGTTTGTGTTTTTTTAAACCTAGCTATTTCCCAAATGCATGTATTTTACCTGTTAGTGTTACAAGGCAAAACCTTCCTTCTCCTATTCGTTGTTATTTGGTAATATTATCTGATGTATTCTAATTACTTGAATGTTAAATTGGACCTAATCACTTAATGGAGACACCACGATAGGCTGGCATAAATTACATTTCAGATGAAATAAGAGTAAATTCTTCTTTCTTATCAGATATGCATTTGGGTAATACAAATAAACATTTGCAACTTTTTAAAAAACTCCCTTGTATTGAGTTAATGATCTCATTTCATTGAGCTCAGATTCTTTTTTCCCTAGTCAGTGAGGATGGAGAAGGAAAAACAATTTTATAGCTATTCTTATGTTTTGCAATGCTCTCCTGCGTTCCAAAAGAGACCCCTTGTGTTCACTGTAATGTATACAACTCCTATTACTTCATTGCTTCTGCACTGGAACAGTAGCTTGTCTCAAGTATGTTCCAGTTCAAATCATTTTGTGGAGTACTGAATAAGACTTTTTAATGAAATGCAAAGTATTAGAGTTCATTTTGCTTGTCATGAAGAAGGCTTTAAACCATTATCTGTTGTAAAATTTGAATCATATTTTATCTTAAAGTACTTTGTATTTTAGACCTTTAATATCTTAATGTGCAGTGTTTTATTTCTTGTAGTATTCAATGTTATAGTAACTTTAATACTTGTTAAAAAAGTGCTTGCCCAGTTGGCACACTTTTGTAATGAGTTTTCAGGACTCGTGTTTACTTTGTGAGAAATTAATATAAATATCTTGTGGGATAAGTTATGGGTGGATTCAGCTGTCTTCACTTTATCCGTTCTGCCATGCCCATGTCTGATGGTTACGATGGATCATTAGTGCAATAGTTTGTTACTGGTGCTAATGTTTCTGGATCTAATCTTATCTTTTTTCCTAAATATTCCACTTCCCCTAATGTGTGCTGCTATGTCCTCATGTCCAGAAGGGATGCTGTTGACATTTTGTAACCAAATCTATTGACCTCATTTAGTCCTAAATGTCTTCAGCTGGCACATTAGCTTGAATCAGGAGCAAGTTCCCTAGGTTGTAGATATTTAAACTTTCATGCTAGAAGGGATAAATCACCCCCTAATTCCTGTGGAGGAAGAATTTTTTTTTCCTTTTGATAAGTTATCTCATTTGTTGGGTTTCTGTTAAGCAGCTGATGCTAGTCATTGTTAGGTTTAAAAATGTGAAAGGAGAAAGGTAGGTTTCCTATGTAGGTAAATGGAAGAAATTGTAATTAACCTATTGTGACATCCAGCAAGATCCTCTTGTAATATATATATATGAGCAAATAAGAGCATTTGCTGTTGTGGAAAATGGGTGCAATATGTACATGATCTGACAAAAACCAGAATCTATTTCTAATTGTATTAATAATTATTAGAGTAAATTTAATGACTGAAAGCTCTTCATTTAATATCCCATTTGAGCAGATGCATACATGGCTAGGTCTATAGCTAGGTCAAGGCCTGTTGCTTCTTGGTGTTGCTGACTGTGTTCTAAAATTAAGTAGAGAAAAATTTTAAAATAAAACCTGATTTCCATTGTAGCCCATGTCTGTGTTGTCTTTCATCTTTAACTCCTGGTTTCTTACTTGTTAATTCCTTTGCCCTTCTTTTGTTTGCTTCCTGCATGTTTCCCTGAGATTTTGACTTAAATTCTGTCAGACCCTTCCATTTTTCTCTTTCCACATTTAAATTTCAGTCCCTGGTAATATTAGTCAGAAAAGTATGATATTAAAAGCTGAACAATGAATGAAATATTTTAACATCCAACTGTTTTCTATTCTGATTTTTTTCTTGAAGGCTTCGATTGGAACTTGGTATTCAAATGGGATTACATGACGCCAGAGCAAAGAAGAGCACGGCAAGGAAACCCTGTTGCTCCCATAAAGTATGTTTCTGTCACCCCCTCTCCCAACATGTGCACACATACACACCAATGTTATTAAATACTTTAAGTGGAACTGACTGAGCTACTGTCTCCCAAATGTTATACTTGGCACATTGTCCTGTTGCAAACTGGCTGGTGCTAGAGTATCCTCTCTTATAAAAGATTTTAAATGTGCAACAAAAGCATACACCACTGGAGTGCTATTCCAAAACATAGCAATTGGGTAGCCTGAAGCAGTCAACTTTTACATTGTTCCTACTCTTTCCTTCTACCTGAACTCATGGTTTTTAGTGTTGTACAATCCAGTGTTGCACTGAGTGGAATAGAAGGCAGAAACTGATGCTACTGATTCGGCACCCAAATTAGTATGTTCCTTGGTTAGTATCCAGCTACCACAGTTGCATGTAATTACTGAAGGCAGCATTTTGAGACTTGATTTAAAGAGCCATTTTTTATTTTTTCTTCTCTAGAGTTCATGCAAATCTGTGTCCTAATCAGCTTGCCTCTGTTAAATTTCATAGATTAACTATCCAAGATGTACATGAAGCAAGCACACCAAAATATATTGACTCCACATATGTAAATAGACCCAGGCATAATATGGCTAAATAGACTACTTCATTTTCCATAGCTGTAAAGAGGGGACATTTATTCCACCTCATAAGAATATCAGACTTACTTTATTTACTTGCAGGACACTGACTTTTTCAGACAGAAATACTTAAGAAGGCAAAAAATTATTGTCACTATAGGAAAGGCACCCAGCTGCTGCTCAGGTTTATAAAATAACCCTCTTGCTCTTGGGGAATTAAATATTATCTGTGATGCTAAGAATGTGGGAGGGGTTTTAAAATTCAGTTTGATTTCTAGTATACATGACCACCATCATTAGCCTTTATAGAAAAGACTTTGAATGAGAATCTGGAAATGGAGATAAACATCATCTATGGAAGTCATGCTGGAGCATGATTCATAGAATAACCCTTGCAGCTGTATGCAAGTGCAGTTACACAGGCATATGGCCAAATGAAATGGCTTAAGGGAGAAAATATTCCAAAATTCTTCAAGTAATCAATGAGTCTTGAATCTTTAACAAACGAAACAAAACACCCCAAAAAGCCATATACTGGCCAGTCATTATGCATTTATTTCCTGACTTTCCCCTCTCTCTCCCCCTCTCTCTCCTCTCTGTCTTTTTCTCTCTCTTTTAGAACACCAATGATAGCTGGTGGGTTATTTGTGATGGACAAATCCTATTTCGAAGAGCTAGGAAAGTATGACATGATGATGGATGTTTGGGGTGGAGAAAATCTAGGTATGTGCATCATTTAACCTTGGATCTTTTTGAAGAAAAGCAAGTGATTTCTTTATCCTAATTTTTATGAGTTCATGGCCTTCATCTGCCTATACAGAAAGGATGTAAATGACAGCTAAGACTTAAAGTGGATTATTGGGAAAAATTCAAAGAACAGTTTCAGTTTAGAAAAAGAATTAGAATAGACTAGGACTGCTGTGTTGAATATGAAGGATTGAAGGGGAGGCATTTGTTAGCTATACATTTGAATGACCTTTGTGAAAAGGCTGGCTAGTAAAATGAAGGTAAGAAATTGCAGTAGAAGGTTAAAAATAACTTCCTGTGTAGCTTGAAAATAACCCCTTATCCCATTACCTAAGTGAATTAAAATGCAATAGTGTTTAAGTACTACCTGTTTAAGGAGCTTCTTAAGATGTTGTTGAAATTTAATCATGTGACGCAGAACACGGAAGTTCTTGAATTTAATTCTCTTATGCACCCTTTAAGAAATCAATTAATGTAACTTGTTGTGGACTGATCTAATTTATTTTTTTCATGTCATCCTTTCTTGTCACCTATGCTTAAGGTGTATTATAACTTTATAGATCAGGTCTAGCATCACAAGATAATTATGGCTGAAATGTATGTTTATAATTCCCTATTTTCAGCTGATTGGATGTCTGAGATGTAGGAGATGGCCTTTGGCCCTGTTCTCATTCTTGTCCTTATACAGTTTTCAATTTGTTTCAGTAACTGGTTTTGGTTATTTAGGTTGCAATAGTGTAAGGTATTGACAGTTGTTTTTTTTCCTGTTAAGACTGTCATATCGAAAAAGACTAGTGACTTTGTGGGGGGAAAGTGTGTTTTCTGTTAACAGTCCTTTAGTAGAGAGAAGTGTCTTAAATAATGTTTTGAAATAAGTCTGGCTTACAATCAATGAATAAACAGTTCTAACGTATACATTGGATACGCAGTGTATTTTCTTTCAAACTCTAATTTCTGTCTATCTCTTCATCATGGTTTGGATGTGCTGACATAGATCCAGACGTTGATTACGTGCTTTTTTTTTTTAAATGCTGGTGTTAAAAGCTGAAGTATTTGAATGTTTAATGGCCATGTATAGTTCAGGGGAAAACAAACACTCTTCATTGAGCTCTCTCATATTAAGATATAAGAATGTGTCAGTGAGTCTAATCCCTTGCTGTCTCAGTCAACCATGTAATACAGGCCTTTTCATAATTTGAATAAGCTCCATCTTAAAACTAGTTTGGTTCTTTGTTCCGATCAGTGTTGATTGTGCATAACTAAAACATGCTTATTTGAAAATTGCAACTATTTTCACTTTTTAAAAAATTCCTGAGAAACATATTGCAGAACTATCTCTGCAGTATTTCAGTTGATTTTACTTTATCTGATAACAGTTGTTAAATAAGTGCATATAGTGTTTTTAACACAGACCTTGTGAGTATATTCCAGTACCCCCTTTCTTTGTTATATGATGATGGAAAGTGGTTCTTCTTCAGTCTTCAGTGCTACAAACAGGTTTCAGGATCCCCCTTAGAAAACTGTTGTAGTCCTTTCTAATTCTTTTCCTCTCGCCTACCAAGATAGCCTTGGGGCTCTAAGACACTACTGCACTTAAGTAAAGGCTTAACAATGTGTTTGAGAAGCCACTTTGACTTCACATTATTAAAGTTAAGCAGATGCTTAATTACTTCTGTGACAAACTGGGTGCATCTACATGAGATACTTACTGCTCATTAGCTTATTAACACTGCACAGTAATGTAGTGATTAAAATAGTGCTAATAGCCTACTGCACAGTGTTATTAAGCTAATGTGTAGTAAGCATCACAAAACAACTGTGTACTAACTCTACTGTGCATTTAGGTAGTACTTTATTAAGCAAATACTAACCTAAATGCGCAGTATCTAAGGTGCATTAATGAACATGTAGATGTGCCCACAGTGTTTTAGTTATAATATTTCTGGTTTAAATACATGCATGGTGTAATTCTGTTGCATTCCTTGGTTTCCTTGATGAAATGTTACAGGGTGAAGGAAGGAGTTAAGAGACTGAAGCCAGAGTTGCCTTGCCTATCTAACAGAAGATGCATACAACAAGTATTGATTAGCTTTGCTGACTGCTCAGGTTGGCTTGGAAAGCCTTCCTTTGGAGGTGACACCCTCATGGGATTTCAAGGGAAGCAGTGAAAGAGGAGTATCAGACAAAAAAAAGAGAGCAGCTGAAAAAGCAGTAGGTCTGGGGGAGAGCAGGAGGGATACAGTAGACCTTACTTTGGGGTGCTCAGGTCTGTGGGCTGGGTTGGGTACAGAGGAGCTGTTTAATCCTTTGGATGGGGCAAGGTTGTCCTCTTTAGCTTTGCCTTTATTGCAGAGGAGCTTTCTGCTTTACTGTATGAGACTTCAGGCTGTACTTCATAGGCCCCCATTCCAGGTATCACACAATTAACTGGTTAATTGTGCCATTACCTTGAGTCCAGCTACATGTGCAAAATATTTATTTCACAATAAAGAACTCCAACCAGTTATAAAGTTAAACCTTCAAAATGTGTATTAACTTTATAGCTGGTTGCTATTGAGCTTTAATTTGCACGTGTAGCACGCGGGGTCTTCCCTGTGGCTGGCAGTCCTGTCGACTGTGGGCTCCCAGCTGTAGGTGTGCACCTTGTCCAGCTGAGGCTGCAAGTCACAAAACTGCTCAGGGCCTTCAGCCCCAACAGCTGCAGACTGTGGATCACAACAGTACCCTGCAGCTGCAGGGACCCAGAGTCCCACAGCTATAGATGCTAGGTACCTGCAGCATGCCTCCTTGTGATCTCCCTGCGCTGGAGGTGTGTGGAAACCCCTGGTTGGGGAAGGATTGCTACTGTGACTTCACCTGCCCCCAGGGTGGACAGATTGCCTGAGTGGTGATCCTCCCGCTTCCAGTGTTTCATGTGCCCCTGGGCTGGGCAGATCACCACAGTGACTGGAAGCCCCTCAAATGGAGTGTCTACAGCTCTCAGCTGTGGGAGCCTGCTTCTTGCCAGTGCCACAGGAGCTTGCTTCTCGCCAGTGCAAGGGGAATAAGGCAACAATCCCACTGTTGCGCCTCCTGCCATGCACATGTGGCATGGCAAGAGGGACAATTGTGTGAATCACATATTAAATCCCCTTGCACTTTTACCTACACTTGTAGAGGAGGAGGCCTAACCCATTTGAAGAGGAAAAGTCCCTCCTTTGGGAGCTGAATAGAAGGTAGTTCCTTGAGGGAGGGCCATAGACAAGCAGGGAAAGCTAGGGACCAAACAGCTGGGAGTTAGGGATTCACCCCACTCTACAAGTCATGCGTGGGCTTGCTTCAGGAAGTACTTAGGGAATCTAGATAAGGCAAAGGATCCTTGGGTTCTGTCAGCTTTGAATGAAGCTGCATCCTCTCTCAAGGCAAGGAATTTTTGAGATGAACAAGCAAGACGTCTCTTTCTGCTGCACTGTCTTCTGTTTTTCCCACATGGAGGGAGCTAGAGGTAGTTTTGAGGTCTCCTTGATCAGTGTCATAGATTCATAGATTAAGGGTCGGAAGGGACCTAGTAGATCTTCTAGCCCGACCCCCCGCCAGGGCGGGAGAACAACAAAAAACCCCAAAAAGAGAAACGGGACTCAAATGAGTCCAGCCAGGTAGGCATCCAGCCTCTTCTTAAAGACCCCCAGGGTAG